CACAAACTGACTTATGCCAAGTATATTCTGTCTTGAGTTCTGCAGATTGAGAATTTGTTAAGCAAAAATGATGCTCCATTGTTGGTTTGTTTTATTTCATTACTAGTGAAGCTGATTTTATTTAGCAGAGTTACTGAGCGTTTGTTTCTTCCTTGTTCTTTCCCATATCATGGTTAGTTTTTTCTTATTGATCTTTGATAATAGGAATAGTATCAGCAGCTAATATCTAACATTTATTGCATATTATGAGTCAGGTCCTGTTCTAGGTGTTTTATGTTTAATCCCATCTAATGAGGTAAGTGCTATTTACTGTTCTTATTTTATAAATGAGGCATCTGAGGCACAGAGAGATTAAGTGCTTTAGCTAAGGTAACATAACTAGCACGTTGGTGTATTGAGGAGATTAATAATTCATTATGTATATTATAAAGACAATTAACTTGTCAACATGTGTATTGAAACTGCTTTTTCTTGGTTTATCCTTCATCGTTTAGTTTTATTCGTGGTAGTTCTGCCTGCTAGGGCTGCTTGACTCTATCGCTAATAAATAAATTAGCTTTTCTTTTATAGTTTCTGCTTTTAATATCTTGATCACCTGAAGAAGAATATTTTAAGTAAATATAATTCAAACTTATACAAATATTCAGACAGTAAAGAAGGATATAAAACAAAAAGTTAAATTATCTTTTTTTCCCTTTCCATAAATTATGGTCCTATATAGAAAAGTATCTCCTTTTAACCATTTATGTTTTTATTTCTCCCAATAGTTGCCCTATGATGACTCTAAATAATACATATACACTTCCATTTCTCTATTTACCAGCTCCACACAGTAGATACTGATTTCTTACTATTTCTTACTATGCGAGATGTGGTGTTTTAATTAACTTATCCTTTTCTTTTCTTCTCTCCTCCTTCTCTTAAATTCTATGAGAAATATCAGTTTTGTTGTTAGTACTTTCAAAACTTTCAGTAATATACTTCAACCTTTATTTCTTGATTTATCAACTTTAGACAGTATCCCTTAACTAAGTGGTCCTTTCCTAATGGGGAATCACATGTAAAAATGATTATTCTCTATATTCCTTGGATCATAAAATGACATGTTTATGAAGGAATGTTTTAGTCAAAGCAGGTCTACCTTTAGTAATTTTAATGAAAGCAGAGAGATCTATATAAGTAGAATAAAAGCTATCAATCTAAAAGATTATATAAATTATATTTATAAAGCATAGATTATTTAGATTATATAGATTATGGGCCTTTCCAACTATATTGTCTTGTTTACTTCTCTGAATAATTTTGTAATGTACATAGAACAACTATTCTTTCATTTTACAGATAAGGAAACAAACACAAAAAGTTTATGGCTAAATGAAGTCGCTGTAGTCATCTTCTAAGTTTTGTTTGGTTTTGTTTCTGTCCAGCATCCATCCACTTTTCCTTTTTCATGGTGTTATTACTCTAGATAATAACTCCACTGTCCCATAGTCTTAATTCATATGCTTCCAAGTGAAACTGATTACACCTTTAAACTCATGAAGTGCATGACTTAGACCTGAGCAGCACATTTCCGTGGCCACAGTGATCAGTTCTAACTGGGTCTGGGATGGCATCAGAATCTATAAAGTATACTGAGATTTAGGATAGGAATAGTGAGACAGAGATTCTTGCTCTATTCTTCTGAATGATGTGATGGTAGCCATCTGGTTACCAGGTGAGGGAACCAATTCTGAAGAAGCTGAATGAGGAAAGAGAGTCTTGCTCATTTCACCAGACCCTTTCCTGAGCCATTTCTATTCCTGCTTGTCAGTTACATCAGCCAACACAGATTTCCTTTTCGTTTACCCAGTTTGGGTTGGTTTCCTGTTCACTGTAATAATTGCACAGTTAATTCATGCAATCCTGATGCCAGCTCTTTTAACTTAAAAATAAGGCTCTTCTTACTCTATCATGCTGCCTGTGAAAGTAATGTCTTTGTTCAGGGTTCAAACCACAGATCCTTTAAGACCTCTTCAGTATATCTTCCGCTTTTCTTCCTAGCCTATTAAACAGTTTTTAGAAATGCAAATCTATCACGTAGAATTCATTCATTCATGAACTAATATGCATATTTTTGCATGTGATGGTCTTTATATACTTTAAATGACAGTGTGAATCAGAGACAAGCTAATTTCAAAACTCTTATGTTAAGTAAAGGTACTCTTATTTTAAGACGAACAATCCTGGATCATTTTAAGACATACAGGTACCACCCATCACCTGCCGCTATGTACAAGAGTTGTGGCCATCAAATTCAATTATAAATAATTGTCTGAAAATCAGAGCATACTAACATTTAAAATTTAAAAATACTCAAACTGAACAAGATAATTTTTAAACAAGGAGGTTTGCTCGTGGAAGATGGGTTGGTAAATGAAAGTGTGTGGCTATTCCAAAGGGGATCTGGGGCATGGCCAAGGGCCATAGTGGCCAATGATTTGTTTTTTTAATTGTATTTGAATTCATATCAAAATGTATAACATTTCTTTTCCATGGTACAAAAAGAGCTCTATCACTATTCCTAAACTAAACAAAACTAACTAAACTAAACTATAAACAAAAACTTCCACAAACGTGGAACTGAAAAATGGAAAACACAAAAGAGATTTTCATTCATCTTTTAAGATGCATTTCAAGTACATAGACTTTGTCTTCAAAAAGTTACTATCTAGAAAGGCAAATACACCTGTAAACTCAAGACTGCATTTTTGTGCTGGAAAGGAATTGATGAAGTTACAGTGCATGGTGAAATAGGGCCTCAGCACGTTGGCTAATGAGTCTTAAAAAAGGAGACAGAAGTAAGTGGTGATAGACTTGATGAGGTAGAAACAGAAGCTGGGAAGAATAAACATTGTGTGTGTAAAGGCATGAAGGTACCAGCCAGACAGTGGTGTCAGGGCGCTATATGTGATTTAATGTGAAAGAAGAGAAAAGTGGAGAGACAAATATTTTAACTGCTAGTCTGAAATTCATAAAAAATATTTAAATGATTTTGAAGTAGGGTTTTTTCTAAGGAAAGTAGAAAATAGATAAAAGAGAGAGATGAAAGGAAAGAATGGAGCATTAAAGGAAAGAAAATGTGTGTGTAAATAGATATATAAAAAGAGATCACATGTGCTGTAAACTGAATATAAGAAGCAAGTGAGAAAGCAAGAAAAGTGGAGTACAAGACATGAGCAGGGCAGAGGAAGTGGGCAGCACCAGACAAACTGGTGGACACAGTCCAGATCCAGGACAGCATGGGTTTGTCCACTCAGTAGAGATCATGGGAGGCTCTGTTGGGGTTCAAATGCACCAGGCAGAAGAAAGATTTTGTGTGTGTGTGTGTGTGTGTCAAGTATTCCTAATTTAAGATGATCTTTATTTTAAAGGTGGGCCTCATTAGGGTCACTCTACGCAATACCTGAATTGCCAAAGCTGGAGAGCATAAGATTTTGGCTACTATAGTAAGTGTCTCCTGCCTAGGAAGGAAGAGATCATGCATGCATAGAGGAGTAGAGAAGGCACTTCCAGTAATAACTGCATATGGACCTGAAGTGATACTAAATAGACTGTTTTCTAGGGCCCGAGGCTCTTGCTCAATCAACATCATCAACGGTCATCCTTGGAGTCTACATTTTTAATGGAGAACTACCATGAATGGAAGTGCTTCAAGTAGAAATGCCAAACTTTCCCTCTGGTGTAGCTGTGTGATTCTGTGATTCTTTCCACTCCTTGCTTGGCCCTTTACAACTTGGCAGCTCAGGGAGTGAAAATGAGGAACTTGGCAGGTTTTTAGACATTTTAACTCCAAATGTTCCTTTAACATTTGTATTTCTTGGACAGGGATTCCTAATATAATAACCTAATTAGTTGTTCTCGGTGTTTCTTTAAAAGCATCCTTTAGCATTGTGAATCTGCCATGGCTTTTGCTTTTAATTTGCATTCACTGATATTTTCCTTTAGTGCAGGAAAGGACTTCTTGGTGGCCAGGTGAAGGATAAATTTATTCAGAGACTCTTGCCTGAAAGTTGTTGAATTCAGTGGCAATTCTGGAGCTGCAGCTTTGAGAAATTTCACCTGGCTGGAAAAGGAGAGGTTCTCCATTGTTTCCTACTCCCCTCTGTGAGGGCTGACTTCTAAAAACTCTTCGTTACTTCACAATACATTTTCAAATACATTTGAAGTAATTAATACCCTGAGGCAATCTTGTTGTCACAGTTAATTATCAGATAAATACTTTCCTTTAGGGTTTTGACAATTGCCCAAAATGTTGTTCTTAATCTAAAACTAAAGAGACCTCTGACATAGCGAGAGCCACCAAAGTGCCACTTATTAAATATAAATGGTAAGTGTCTAAAGAGGTGAGGAAAGACCATTAGTTCTCATCTCAGAAAGAAAATTCTTCCAGGACCAAGGGAAAATTACATTAGCTCTTAGTTGAAACTCTATCAGTTTCACTTGTCACGTGGTGATTTAAAGATGTGTGTGTTCCTGTAACATGATACATTTGCATTGAGAAATAAAAGGAACATTCTAACTCTCAAGTTCTATCTCCAGTTTGCCAATCTTACTATAAATATAACAGTTTCTATTAGTCTATTAGCTAGGAAATGATTTGTATAAGAAAAAATTTAAATAATATTGATTTGAAATGAAGAAAGCTCATTTGTGTGCATTTTAGGAACCATAAGTGAATCAGCTAAATATATACACCTAGAAGAAAAACATTACCCTCTAGGTATTATCTTATAATATGCTGGAAACATGAAACCCATTAATACTGTTAGAAATTAGGTGCCTAATGAATTGTACCTACTATTGGGGATTTTCTGTGGTAACAAATCCTTAAAAGCTAGCAATTGCCTATATCTCTAGGAAATAAGACAAAAGATACTATTAAAGCCACTAGGAATCATCACCAAGTGGAAGCATATTTCACATGGTCAAAGAAACATTGACGAAATTCTGGTACTTACTATGTAAGGACTATGGCCACTGCATCATTCAATACACTTTCTCCGAACAAGAGTGTGTACAAGTTGGGGTCAACATGCAATTCATGAAAGATGGCCAGCACTGTCACTAGGAAAAAACACACATGCAAATACACAGAGTTAGCATAGACACAGCCATGAACCTGTCTTTGGTTGTGGTCACCTTTAAAAACCATTCATTAAATTCTCATCTCAGATCTATCCTCTATACCCATCCTCTATTCTGGATCTTTATTTTTTAAAAATCTGATTAGTGACTCCCCTGCTTATGGATTTCTCCGGGCTTCTCACTGCTTACAAAGAAAGTTTGAGTTCCTTGGTACAAGTCTCCCATAATCTACACCCTGTGCCTATTCTTTCTTATCTCCCTCAAGCCACACTAAACTTTATATAATTTCCTTCCAAAATTCGTGCAGTTTTTTAACTACCTTTGCACTTTGATTTCCTCTGAGATCATGGTCATCTATAAAGATGGACTCAATGTTCCTAAGAGCAAAACCTAAAGACTTGTTTCTGGTGGCTGCTGCATGGCTACTATATCCCACATACTTGTATGGAGCATCTGGGAGTACAACAGGACAATAATTAATCACACACTAATTATCTGTGTTCATCAAAACTATTTAGTGTCTTGATATTTGAAATAGTTATGCCAAGTGTGAATAGCAATCATTAGGAAAATAAATGATTCATTCCATTCACTGCATTGATTGCCAAAGGGGGAAAGGGGTTGGTTGAAAATGATACTGATGGTAAATTTTTACAACAGAGTGGACATTTTGATTTCTATTCTTTCCTGTCCTATTTCATGGACTGTGAAGTTAATGACTATGTTGTATACAAGAGTGCTGTGGAGAGAAAAAAAAAAAAGCTAGGTTTGAAAGTTTTGTAAATAGGGTCTAGAAGTTTGGTGCATGTCTTGCTGCAATGGGGAGACAGGGAAGGATTTTAGTCAGAAGAATGACACTACCTAATTCAAACTTTGGGGAAAAAAGCTCAGGCAGCAGGGCAAAGAGCAGAGTGGATGTGTAGTTGGTGGCTTTTGCAAATGTCTCTGCAAGAGATGAGTTGAACCAAGACAGGAGGAGCCCTCCATTAAGGCCCTCCAACTTCTGCACATCCATCACCTTGACTTCTGATAGGTCAATGACCACAGTGCTTTGGACATTACCTATTCATTGGTTCTCACCTTCTCTGTGTGTCACTAACCCTTAGCTCAATGCTAGAATATAGTAAGCCTTTAATGGGTGAATGAATAAGAGATAATGTCAGGAAGGATAAAGCAGAGGAGATAATACCCTCAGACATTTAGGAAGGAGAATTGGTGCATCTTGGTGCTTGAGAGACAGCAAAGAGTAATTCTGGGTTTCAATTCTGGGCAACTGGTAGATGGGGCTGCATAAGAGAAATTAGTTTGTAGATAGGGATGTTTAGTAAGTTGGGTTTTGGAAATACTGACTTAAATAGATAGGTAAAATTTCAAGTGCAACTGTCAAGAAAGTTGGAAATGAAAGACTGGAACTATGGAGAGTTATGGCAGAAGAAAGAATTTGGAAGGAACATAAAGCTACGAGTATGGCTAAAGTTGCCTGGGCAAAGTATATAGAAAGAGAAAAGAGTTTATAAGAGATCCTTGGGGGACACTTACAGCTAAGGGGTGAGTAGAGAAAAAGAAGCATGAAACACACAGGGGGTATATTTGCCAAACCTGACCCTAAGAACAAGTTGGCTGGGAATCATATCATCATGACTTTCTGTAAATTTATTTTTATTTACTAAAAATTATCCTAGAAGGATTATTAAATGCAACAACTAGATTTGAGACAGCAGAGACAACAGAAATAAAATGTCATGAATTGGCATGACAAGCAACCAGATCCCATTTTATCACGTAGAATCAATTTCATTATTCTAGCTGAATAGGTCCTTAATCATGATAGGCAAAATGGCAAAGATGTACTCTCTACTAGTGTATTCACATTTGTCACAACTTCTAGCCTTTGCAGGTGGTAGTGGTAGGGGTAGCAATCTCCTCTGCTAATCTTTCTCCTTTTTGGATAGAGTTAAAACAAAGAGGCTTCAATTGGGAGGGGGTGGTAATTAACAACATTTTCCTTTTGCTAGGATCTTGTGGGATAAAAGTAAACTTATTCGTAAACTAGAAAATTCTACCATGGCCACTCTGTTGTTGACTTTAGTCTTTGTAGTTGCTTATTTGTATTTCCAAGCTCTGAAGATGACTTGCAGTTGATCTGCACTCTCAGAGAGGTTTCCTAGGCTCACAAATAGAGATATGAAACCCTAGGTTTCTTTTCCCATCTCTGATTATAAAGTCTACTCTATGCTGGGATGTACTCTGCTTCTTTTCAGAGACAGCTTTGGGTCTTTAGAGCAAAAAGCTTTTAATTGGATATACAGTTTTGCTCACAACTGTTCTGACATTCCCACAATTCTTTCAGCACAAAGAACTGAACTCTACTTCATAAACGTTATCCTACACAAAAGAGAAAGCTATTACTTTGCACATTCCTATTTACCCCATGAAGAAATGGAATAGCTTCAAAATGAAGCCAAGCAGTGTGTCCTACGAGAGGGAGTATTTTCTGGGACCACAATGAGTTGAATAGATGAGTCAGGAAATTAGCCACCTACTCTTGCTGCTGAGCTTGAATCTTTTAAAAATCTCATTTAATTAGCTTGCTGGCAAGGCTCAATCTTACACACAATGTCCAAGATTCCTTGTGGCACCTTCCCAAGAGAGAATCTCTTGGAAGAGCTGTGGACATGCTTACACCAGCTCTGCCCAAACCTTTCTGGGTTTGTAAGGGCAATCCAGGCCTGAGGCCGGGTTAAATGCAGTGCCTCCTTAGATGAGCCTTCTTATGACAATACAAGAAGAACAGGCCAGACACCATGTGGATAGCAAGGGGAGAAGATGCAATCTGATTTCTTAAACCTCTGATTTTATCAGGAGATTTGGTCACTTTTGCCTTTGTCATACTTTAATTCCACTCATCTCATAGTGGCTAGTTCCAATGCTCCACTTGGGGCTTGGGATTCCTACTCTATATACTTTCTTCCTACCTGATTTATTAGCTAGAGGAAAATCCACTTTGCCTTACAAATTGACAATAAGGGATATAAGCCCATATAACCTATGCTCAAATAAATGAACACAAATACACACACACAAAGACACACACACACAAATTATCTCCAGGTGAGAGCAGTGGATAATTGAGAAATGCTATTGAATCATTGGAGATATCTAGAATATAGTTTTATCAGTCAAACAGCAAGGGTCATGGGGTAAATGAATGATGAGGTAGCAATATAGACTGCACTTCTGAGAAGCTGGTGATAAGGGAAGGAGAGAGGAAAAACAATAGCTATAGGGTATAAAGCCCAAATGTAATAACGATACTTGGAGATTACAGATAATGACTATCTCCCCCATCAGTATCTCAATGTGTTGACTTTTAAAAGATGTTTTATCTCATTTTTTTCTACTGCTAGTTTTTCAACTGCCCATTTTCCCAATGTTCTTGCAGTCGCTTCTGTCTTCAGGGTGATTTAGTGACAGTCTCTTCCCCAGAATCTCCATTAGCAGCTCTCTGACCCATATATTCCTGGTGTTTCACAAGGAATTTAAATTTCAAATAGTATTTTAATGGAACAACTCTCAGCAACCTGGCACAAGATCTGGCTGGGTCTATGGACAATATCACACAATAGACCCCAACCCTGTTGTTCTAAGTCTTGTCAAAATGCTGGCTCTCCCTGGAGAGTGCTCTCTGTGGTGTTCTGTGAAAATCAGTGTGTATGTATGACACTTGTGCCCTACATGCGGAGAATCAAAAATGTCTCAGGCTTGTACAGCTAAATCATGTCAGTCCTGACAGGTGGAAAACCCTGGTATCTCATAAACAAGGTAGCATTTTTCCATTTCCAAAAGTGATTATTGGGAAAATGTGTTTTATTTTTCACAGAGGGAGAGTGGAGGAGGAAATTGTCCTGTAACTTTTCTCACTTTTCTGAAATATTGTACATGGTGAGATTTCACGGTGAGGCTTCTAAAAGAGTTGTGGTATCCTGCTACAGGCTGGAATACTGGAATTATTTTCAGCCTAAACCTTCTCAGTGAAGACTTAGCATCAAAATCAGTGCATAGATTGGTTTTGCTAGTCAGCCTCTCCAATTATACTCTAGAAATTATCCCCTGGAAATACAACTGGAAAGCCTACCCTTCTGAAATAGATTAGAGGAACAATGCCAGATCTAGAAGGCTAATCATTAGATGTCACTTTGTTGAGTTCATTCTAAAATAGAAGTTATATAAAACATCATGAATGATTTAAACCTAAAGCATTGCAATTTTATTTTGGCCATCAATATGATTTACCACTTTGGTACAAAGTTAGTAGTGGAGAAAATACTACATGCAAGCACACTATTGCAGCCCTCCTCACCAGGGATCTCTGGGAGAAACAACCCCTAATACCCCAAGGCAACAGTTCTAAAATATGGTCCAGGGAACTCTGGGGTTTCTGAGCCTTATCCTGGAAGATCCACATGGTTAAAACCATTTCAGAATGATTTTAAAATGTTACTTGCATTTTTTATGTTTATGCTTTTATCTGTGTGCACTAGAATTTTCCAGGGCTATATGATGTGTGATAGTGCACTTGAATGAAGAAGGAGATATGAGACTCTGGCTGTCTTCCATTACCTCACACATTAAAGAGGTTTGTAAAAATGTAAAACAATGTCGCTCTTCTTGGTAAATTTCTTTTATGTTTTGGAAATAATTTATTTTTTTTTTGTAAAATATGTTATTTAATATATAAATGATTTATGATTGTTATTTCAAATAAAACAATAAAATCTGTTTAAAAGTTTAAAGATCTAATATGGTAAATACTGATCATATAACCCACATAAACAAAAACTCCTTCTGTGTCTTTCCTAACTTTGAAAAGTTGTAAGGGGGTTGTGACATCAAAAAGCTTGAGAACCATTGTCCTAAGGCATTTGTTGTATGTAACGAATTAACTTATATCCTATGCCATCAAGAATGATACTAGCTAA